ACTGTAAATGTAACTGAGTAAATGTGCTTGGTTACTATGCAGCTCTGCCCATTACGAACATGTCTGCAAAGTAATCTGGGTGATGACCCATAGTGCTCTACATAACTGTATATATATATATATATATATATATATATATATATATATATATATATATATATATATATGCACAGACATTTTTCTAGGCACCTGCGTTCCTACTCTTAACTGTGCTCTGCACTATAATTGGGCTGCAGCAGTTTAACAAGGCCATCGTAAATATGTCACTCTAACCGTAAAGGATATCATTAAAGCTGAACGACCTTCTGCAAGGGCATACACATACATACACAAATATGTACATACAAACACTTAACCCATTACACTTTCTGATTCACCTTCTCTTTAATTCACCTTCTCCCCAAGTATTTCTTCTTAAGAAAAACAACACTGGCCACAAACAACAGCTGTTGTCAGGGACTCAGAGATTCTCAGCTTAGAACTCACAATAAAACACTGACTACTGTTCTAAAGCATCCTTGGTAATTCAAATATAGATGAAATGACAGCTGGTAGGAAAAACATATGTACATCAAGCATTTTTCTTTCTATTTAGGGACCAATGCAGCTGAGTGATATGTCACTAAATGGGCAAATAAATGATGCTGCTGAAGCACCTCTGATATGTTGCAGGCACACCTGGTGCAACCACGCCTCTCATACACACAGTTGCCAACATTCCTTCCTTGCTGACAAGTATGTTCAGCTGAAGTAAAGCAACCACTGGAGACACTCATTATTATTTCATCTAATCCTTTCCCCTCATGTGAACCTGTGTTAAGGACCTGTAGGAAGCAACAGTCTGCGCATGTTTGAGGTGGTTGCGGGAACGTTGCTGATGCACTGTGGAGAGGTTTGGTACATGCCTAGAGGGACAGCAGGTGGGAGCAGGCAGGAGCATGTTCACGGGTCCCAAACTGGGTCAGTGTGCCAAAGTCTAGCAGACAAATGATCAGACAGAGTGTGTCTGTGTGTATGTGCGTGCGTGTGTGTGTGTGTGTGTGTGTGTGTGCGTGTGTGACAGCACACATATTAACCTCACTATTTGAAAGCTATGGAACAATAACTCATAAATGTGAAAATTCACATGAATGGCACATTCATCATTCAAGATGGCAAATTTCACCAAAAGGCAACAAGTTTGTATGTATGTATTCAAAAAAAAAGTAAGCCATTATAAATGACTCACTACTTAGATGAAACCGAAATGTGATTACTTAACGTATTACTAGTGAAAAGGAAAACCCAGTAGCCACTTTCAGTAATTTATTTAGAAACAGCTTATCACAGTAATTTAAAGGGCATGGCACTATACCTGTCTACACTCTGGACAAGACACTCCACTATTGAGGAAAATTATGAATGGCTGATATCTGAAAACCAAAAAACTATCAGGTAAATCAGCTGCCTTGCAGAAAACCAAAGCATTTAAAAGTAAAATGTAAAGCTTACAGACCTGTTCCTGAATAACAATTTAGTCTGGGACTCGCTCTTTGGAGGAACTTTACTACAGTGCATTACACTAGTAAGGGAAAAGGTTACATGACAGACATGTTTCTGTCTAACATGTAAACAAACCGATAAACTGGAGGCTCACCAGTCATGCCTCAGAACAGATAATACTATGTACTGCATGGATGAGGGAAATGGGATTACTGAGGGTGAAGCAGCACCCCCTGATTTCAGGATTGCAACTGCTAAAAATATTAAATGTTCTAATCATTTTATTATTCTAATAACATAACAATTTGAGCGTAGCATAGAACCATGTGTGCTTGTTTTGTACTTTTATGTAACCTGTTTATAAACGCTTTGCTGCTTTGAGGACATGTCGCTCAAATACACACAGATGGAGGTTCAAAGAGAGAAACTCTAGGCAGAGACAGAAGTCAGTCCTAAACCTCAAGGTGGCCTAATATTGTTTTTTTTAAATTTTAAAAAGCCATCTAACATAATAATGAAGTTTTTCCAACTATTATATCTCCCGCTTTGCATTTCAGCGTTAAACATCAGTGTGTGTCTCTGGACATGACACAATAATTTACCGCGCTACATATCAACAATCCGACTGGTCGCTGTTCAGCTCCTCTACATAAAATTTGTCCAGAACTACAGAGCAGAGAGATGATGTGTGTCGGTGGTTTCATGTGTCAGTTATATGTAAATATCGTTCCCTCTCACATAATTATAGCAAAAAATAAATCAAATGAAAAAAGGCAGATGACTTCATTGGTCACATCACATAAACGCTGCTTAAAATTTCAGCATCCCAAACTTAAAATACCTTCTTGTCCCTGTTCTCGTGTCCCTGGAATAATGATCATGTATTGTAAAATGCTTTTTGCAGAAACAATTCAATGTAAAAACCTGTGTGCTGTCAACTAATGTGCTAAGTTTATGGCATTAACTGACATATAAGGATTACATTAATATTGGATAATGATGGACACAGCTGTAACAAAGGCCTGATGTTGTGACACCACCACATAAGGGGACCTGTGGAGTACCTATTTATAATGATCAACACTAATATAGATTTCAGGTAGTGTTATTTAGGTTACCCCACAGAAAATAAAGTCTCTAATTTCTTTTATGACTTCTCACTGGGATGGTCTGATAGAAGTTGTGGCCTCATCTTATGTCTGGTATTTTTATTATGTTTTCCATATTTTTTGTTTGAAAATGTTTCCTGGGCATTCCAACGGGGACTCTTATTTTGAATATAAACCCTGGTTTGGGAACAGGAAAGGGAAGTGTGGCAGCCATTTTCTTGGAGGATTAAGTTTGGGGAAGACAGGCCTGGTGGATCATTGCTGTTCAAGCCCTAACAAACTTTTACTCCTTTTCTACTCATCTTTGTCCTTGAAGAGTGGATCCCCCTCTAACTGTGGAGTTACCTCAAGGAACTGGGTGAGCTCATTCCTGTTTTTTGTTTTTTTGCATTGCTGGGCCCTGTTTTGATTTTTTGATTTTTGGGGATTTTTTTGGGGACACTGTTTGCTTGGACTGTGGTGGCAGTTTGACATTTTTGGACTTCTTCTGGATTCAATAGAGACAATCTCTGGACTTTGATATAGTTATCCCACCTAATGGACTTCTGCAGCCGATCTTATACTCAACTGCTTTTCTACTTTGTTTTTTTTAAGCTTTGTTGCTGTTGCTGATGCTGTTAGGGCGTTGTCTGTTCTGGGGAGTAATAAGTAAAAGCTAACTTGTGCAAGCTCTGTTGTATTCTGGTGCTCACGTTTTTTTTTTTCTCTCACCAAATTAGTGATCGAACTTTATTAGTAACTGCTGAGTTGGTCAGATTGTTACAATGTCATTCTCTGAAAGAGAGGTAACTCAACTAAAGGCTCAGTTCTTTGGTATCACTGAAACCAAGGCTGGCTTTACATGTTGAAACTTTCAAGCATGTTGTGAGATGCGTGCAACTTATTTTCCATGCAACACATTCAGTTACTCCAATTCAATTCAATTACTAGTTGGCCAGATTAGCGCAGCTCACACATATTGCATACATAATTTTCATTAAATAAAGTAATCTGCAACATGTTATTTACATTTTCATACTGGTAGCATTTTTTTCTCTTTGTAATTTTTTTGCTTAGAGAAATTTCTTTGTTTGCTGTGATGTCTCAGGTAACAGTTAATGGATGAAATGAAAAACTACCAACCTTGTTCAAAGATAATCAGGAGGATCTCAATTTCATCCAACCCACCATCTTCTATTTTTTTCTTTCTTTTTATTTTTTAACCAGCGTTTTGACTGACTGCTCCATTGAACTGATTTCACAAAGTTGAGATGCTTGCAACTGTTGAGGTTGAGTTCCAAATTATTCGCAGGATTCTTTGCATTATGTAACTCAAGTGAAATTTATTTTCATGTAAATTTCAAGCAGCTGAATTTGCATGTAAGTTTTACTGTGTAAAGCCAGCCTCTGAACGCACACTGAACGCATCATGCCATTTGCATTTATCTGACTGCCATTCATTGAGTAAACTTCAAGACACATCATTTAAATATGGCATTCTGAGGTCTTGATAAGGCTTCAATTTAACATAGTAATGGTAAAATGCTGAGTAGCCCGCTGCGATGCAAAAGAAATTGAACAGCTGAATCGGGACGCATCAACACCAAATGTGGATGCCAGTGTGTACATCTTCATTTAAAACTATGTGACAGAAATGGATCCCTATTCCCTCACTAGTATTGCACGATACATAGGTGAACTATTTCGTTTACTAAACCGTGGAAAAATACCCATGAATCATAAATGAATTTGGATACCTTGTCATCAATAACCTGCATAAAACAAACCAACCTAAGCTCTCTTAGCTGCGGACATGGGCATAATGATCAGAAACGTGCAGGAGACAAGGAAAAGGAACAAAACCTGACTAGGCTAAACATTTAATTCTTGATCCATGACTGCAATCAGTGTGTTTGCTGTACAGTGAGCTGCATTTAGATTTTTGTTTTTAACTGTACTTTTTTTGTAGAGTTTCTCCAGAGAGTTGAGAGTGTCTGATACATTTAGTTTTTGGCTGAGCAGCCACCATTAAATAAAGTCCTCGATCCATTACTTAGTAACAAGAGACTTACAAAGCATGTTGGTATATATTCAGCTGATAAAGTCATCTACACTATTTACTAGATATTACGAGTGCATTGTGGGGATTTTATAGTGCCCTCAAAAGCACTCTAGAACTCCAGTTTTAGGATTCAAACACCAAGACAAAAATGGCTGTCGTGCTCAGTAGTGCCCTAACACGCAAACAGGAATCCATTGTAGGCAAAGCCAATGGTTGTGAATTTTTTAACCCTACACAATGCGATTAAGGGATACCAAGCTTTGTAGCAATGAAATTGGGATGTAGCAGTCCAGAGATCATCATAATGTCAAGGCATAATGAAGTCATAATGCTGGAATTATGAGGTAATAATGACATGATTTGCTTACCCTGGCTCCTTTGGCTGCCAAACAAGGGCACACGCTGCAGTCTCGCCCACCACACTCCTCTGTCTGACCACCCTAAAACCAAGCAGAAAAACAAGCACACAAACACTGATCAACATCAGTTCCACATAAAACTATAAATAATAAAAGTGATATTCTGATAACAGAGTATGCGGATAGCTAACTGCTCCAATATAAACATTTCTCATTTATTACAAAATGGACACACAAATGCAACATCTCATTTATTGCTTTCTCTTTTTTAATCCTATCAGGCATATGTTTTGTTCATAGAACACTTGTGTGTGACAGTGTAACTGTCTTAAATTCTTAGGTGTAACCCCAGACCCCATCTATCTGCTATGTCTATTTGACAGCCTGCTGTCATACCTAAACTATCTTGCAGTCAACCTGACTAGACATTGGACATGATGTTCTCTGACCTGCGACTACGCACGTGAGCTTTCAGGTAGGGCATGAGGAATGTCAACATGCAGAGATAGTGAAAGGAGACAAAAATGGAGGCGAGACTAAAAGAAATGAAGGAGAAAAAGGGTGAGAGACTGTACGAAAGACAGATAAACAGAAAAGAACGGGGGGGTGGGAGGTGGAGGGAGGTTGTTTTGTCTTTTAGAGGTAGATGGGTATGTACGCAGAGAGAAAGAGGACTGCATGAGATAAAGTGTGTAATCAGACGCCATTCTTCCATCTTCCATACACACTTACTTTTACACAAACACACATGCACAAACAAGCAGACATTTCCTCCTAGGGCTATTGCCTTTACTGTGTTCAAATGTCAAAATAAATAAATAAATAACCAAAAATACCTTCTCAATAGATCAACAATGATTACTTGCAAATTTGCATCATGATAATGAGGCATGTGCTGATTTTAAAAGTATCATTGCGATTATTTAACCATTTTTATGGTTCACAATATCTTTTGGAAGACGTTTTCAATAGCAGTGCTGCATAGGCGGCTACACATGTACAATGTGTTCATAAAATAATCATTTAAAATAAAAAAACAAAGTGTCCACATGATGTTGCTCACAGTCATCTCTAAAACTTTTAAAATATATTTTTTGATCATATAATCATGAATATGTAACAGTTATGTATTTCATAACAATTACAGTTGAAATCTGTAGTTTATAAGCAGCACTTGTTTATCCACAACTACAATAATGCTAATTTCTGTTATCTGGCCAAGGGTTTTTTTTAATAGTTAGCATCAAGCAAACGGGTTTACACACCACACAGTACTAGCCAACACATGGCTTCATACAGATAGTCTATATATGGCTACAAACAGATCTGAAGCTTGGAACAGACATTCAGGTCACAATTTTTTTACTAGATGCAGTGCATTAAAATGCTGGCCCTACCTAATCTGTCAAGGCAGCAATAAATAGTGGTAGAGAGCAGAAACAGTGACTTTTTAATCATTGTCTTATAAATTACACTTTTTGGTGAACTCTTGCCAATGAACGGTAGAGTTATAAAGGTTTTTAAGATGCTCTATATTGGACAACGTGCTAAACTAACCCCTTTCGCCTTTAACAGTTGGTACATGCTTAATAATTGTCCTACAGCTTTGGATAGCTAGCTGGCACACCCTTGTTTATTTTCGATAATAAACACTGAGAGCCTGCTAGCTAGCTAGCAATACAGAAAAGTAGGAAAGTTACTGGGACTCCACCTTGAGTTAAACGACTGTCTCCTTTTAGAGTCTTGCAAGCTGTGCTAAATCAGAAGTGGAGTCTGCATTGCATCTGCTGTGCGGAGCTGCAGCTGCATGCTACTGCTGAGAAGCTATAAACCACTGAAGTCATGCGTCATTCTGCAGTCTGCGTATGCCCATGTTTGAAACTCTAAGCTTGTCTAAGCTCGAGTTCTCTATAGCCAAAATGAAAGGGGCTTTAAAATAATCACCTCTTTCAGGCCCTGTGTTAAATAAATATGTTCAGAGCCCAGCACGTTTTGTCCGGTGTGTATTTTTCTCTCAAATATCACTGGATCCTCTCAATTACAAGGTAGATGAGGATTCATGATATTGATATTGTTACATGTAAGCTAAAGCTACTGTGCATCAATTTCACATCACTAAGGCATGCTAGGTGGTGTTCTGACGAACTGTGCTACCTTATTGAAATGACCTACCGTAACGCATGTTCATAGGTAGCTCCATATATTCAAACTCTAGGTAGGATATAAAACTCCTTAACAAAAAATACCACCAGCAATAAAACTACGAGGCTTAAGTTAGCTTCTTTGCTTTTTGTTCACTGTAATATTAACCTGAGTCTGTACTGAATTAGTCTGAGTGGAGGTAATCTTGTAGAGCTTGTCAAAGCAAGCTATGAACAGAAAAGAACAATCTATCGTGTTTCAGTGAGTATCAGATGAAGAACAGATAATTGCATCAAAACTTAAAAGAGAAAATATTTCTTTTTTCTGGCTTCTTTTATCCGATTTCATTTTGTACATGGAAATACACTACCACACTGGCAAATTGTGCTGGTTTGCACGTTTTTTTTAAGGAGGCTGCAAGTCTAATGACGTCAATCCAGTGTGCAGTAGCATCAGCTTATTTGTAGCAATATTCATATTTCGACTCTTTAATGATAAAATTTTCAATGCAGCGATATTTGAGAGAAAAAAATCCATAAGACAAAAAGTATCAGCTTTGGAACATTTTTGATTACCACACATTTTTGATTAACACGTTATCACATGATCAGTGCGTGTTAAACTGGCACTGCACTGCATATCTAAAAATCTCTGGTGAAACTAACTTGTGTGACTAAAATACTGTCTGGCAGATCGATCGGCAACTGGATTAGTACGGTGCATGATGGTAGTTTTTTGTCCAACCAGCACGTCACGATGACATATAAAGACAAAATCTCACGGGAGCAAACTCTCAGCAAAACTCTGACAGGTCTCTTCATGGAAAACACTATTTTCTAACAAAATAGTGTTGCATTCAGTTAGGGCTGGGCGATAAAACGGTAACGATAAGTATCGCGATATAACTTTTCCTCGATAGAGCGATAAGACAGGTTAGATAAATGTTCGATATAATACACCATTCTCACACTTCCATATTCAGCGAAAGCCCTGGTGGCGCTTTCTACTGCAAGGAAAGCGACACTACTCTGCTGTCGTCAGGAGAGGGCGCATTTCCGAATTTTTCGACTTGATTAGAGAGGGAGGGGGCCACGAGTAAAAAAAGAGTCGCCAAATATACTTTAGCAACGGCTGAAACGCGGAGTTATACATTCCCTGTCTGAGTGGATGTTATCGGCGATCTGTTCTCCTGTGACTGAGTGTGGGTGACGAGGTCAGTGGTGTAACTGTACTGTCCTACGGTGAACTCACCTCTTTACCAACATCCTGACAGCTTTAGCGGTGTTAAATCACGTCTGCAGCGCCGTGTTACAGCGCCAAACCGTCATATTTTAGTATTAGTGCATTCTCGAGCAACGAAAGTGAAAGAAAAGAAGTGGATTCATGTTCGAAAGTAAACTGAGGAAGCTGTGAGGCATTGGAGAGCGGGAGAGCGCTATCTTTCCAGGCTAGCTGTTTTTAGCTGCTGGCTAACTTGAAGCAGCGCTCCGGCAAAACACGGTGAATTGATGATACGGTAGATCAAACACGACACAAAATCACCTAAAAGGAGGACTCTGTGACTGGTGCGAGAGATTCACACTGCAGACAATGCTTTTACACAGCGAACGTCAGATATACTGCGGTTCACCCCTTAAACTACTGCGATAGCATAGAGAAACCCAGTCGTCGCTAGCTGGTGTCTGAATACTGTGATATGCTCTGACATGGATGTGGTAGGAGTGACGGCAGTGACCTACCGAACCGAGTTGACGTTGTTGAGAAACTAAAGAGTTTAGCACTGATGTTGGCCACTTGTTTAGCATTTGTAATGGGGTAGCCGAGCGCTCGTCACCAGACAGCTAAAAATAATCTGTTTTCTTTCTTAAATCATGACTATTACAAAAATTGCAGCTGTGCATTTCAAGCTGATAAAAACAGCTCAGAAACTTTCTCCCACTCTTCCATGACAGATTAGTGAAATGTTCCACTGTTTGCCGAGTGTTTGTCATGATCGGACCATAAGTGATAGTTTAAAACCACAGTTAACCACCCAGGAGCAAAATCAGCCTTCAAACGTGAAAGAAATCATGATTTGACATTTATCGCGATATGTATCGATATCGGACGATATGAATTTTGTTTATCATGATAATGTTTTTGGCCATATCGCCCAGCTCTACACTCATAGATTTCTATAATTTCTAACTGCAGTGGCAGCATTACGCCATGTGATGGTACTGTAGTCACTGTAGACTAATTGGGGAAAAATTCTTAAAGCGAATGCCAAAAATCACAATTTTCTCTTTATCCCAAGCATAGTTGATCAGCCAAGACATGCTTGGTGTCTTAAATTTGAATTTTTAGTTTTACACTGGAGCGACAAGGTTAAAATGGCTTGTAGGCAGCTTATATTAGAGCCATAATCTGGCTTGATTTTTTTTTTTTACCATGAACCTAAATAGAGCATGAGTTTTTTTTTTTTTTGTTTTTTTTTGTCCAAGACTGACCTGAAACACATCACCACATTATGAGTCCAAAATTGACACAAGTACAACAAAATTCTGTTTGATCTGAACCAGCCAATTGGTCAAATCTGAACTGCCCCATCATACCCATATACTTGTATCTCTCTCTCTAATCACAGTAATAGCTTAAGAATAAAATGATTGCCTTAAAGGAATGTGTGCATATGTGCTTATTTACGTTTAAAAAATGTTTTTAAAAGCAATACTTTGTTTGTGACATTATAAAATATTTTGGACAGAAAACTTTTGGTCCACTGATCAAGCAAGTTGGGTAAAAAACAGCTATTCAAAATGAAATCTATAGAATGATTTACAAGTAACATATACATATATGCACCTACTACACAGTGTAATATAAATTTGTGATATGAAAGTAAACATAAAGCATGTTTCCAAAATCCTCCCTGCTCTGTTACTCAATACACAAATGAG